TGCCTACTTCTGACAAAAATACGCAAATCTGAAATTACCTGTCTCTTGAAAACACGCAGATTACAGGTAAGAATCTCACCTTTAAGTTGGGGGAAAGACTGAGCCTCGTAAAGAGAAAGTCGGATCAGGGCTTTTCGAAAGTGTTCAACCCAGGTCGCAGATGAAAAGGCCTGGCTGCATGGGGGAAAAAGATGCATCGATAAAAGGAGGAGGCATTTAGAGTAATTGAAGTAAACATAAAAGCATAAGATCGATGGATCAAACGTCTTTGAAGGGCGAGTTTAAGGTAATCGTAGGATGATTAGCGGCCTCTTTGAAAGAAATACTAAAATAACTACTATATTCCTTTCAATAGGCGTATTTAAGCCTATTCCTTTAAGTCGGCGGATTAGTAGCTGCGGGCAGCTTCCTGCTTCTTCAACGCGATAATAAGGATAGTAAAAAATGTACCTCAGTGACTTCGCCCAAAGTCAGCGAACACTCCTCAACTTACACGCGCCTGCCGTTGGTCCAGCAGGGGTTTGTGATATTATAAAATGTACCTAAGTGGCCTCGCCCAAGGTCAGCGAACACCTCTCAACTATACATACACATATCTTAGCTCAGGGAGTTAGAAATGATATACGTGTTGCTTCAATTTAGTCCTCAAGTAGACCGGCTACAACACAGCCGGCTGGTTACAGCAGCTAGTCACAAGAATTTCAGGATTCTCATACTAAACATTACATATGACTACTTTACACGTTTGGAGAGTAATATTTTTTACCAGATTTTTTTATTATTAACAATAAACGCTTAATATTACAAAAAGTCTTCAAAAAAGTCCATTATTACTGGGTCTCGGGCTGAAAAATAAATGTCCAGATTTGTCGACCTCGATTGAAGCTCGTTAGTTTTTCGCACCTTTTTTTCGATTCACGCGCCCAACGCCGTCGCTATATACCCGCCGCATTTAACTATTTCAACAACATTTTACGACTTCTTGTACTCATTTTTACAAAGTCTCTTTTTCCTCCATCCGGTTTCCCTATCCATAAAAACCCCAATCCCACCAGTCCCGGGACACAGAAGACTGGGGTTTTAAATACCCAAGGTATACTACACAAACTACTTTTACCGAGTTTAATATTGAAAGTGGGGTGTTGGATAGACAGGAAAGAACCGCGGTCACTGTCGGACAATGTAAATAAAACTTTCAGTGGTTGGACAGAGGGTCATGCAAGCCTGCACCACAAAACGCACGGGTGTCAATGGTCGATTAGCCGAATCGGACGAGATGGCCCTTTTAAAGACCGTAAAAGATATGAACGGCAAGCTACCAACGCCCACCCCGATAACAATGGTGCGATAAAGTATAAAATAAGAACTGCCAACATGAGTGCAACAACAGCGTTTATTGTGTTTAAATTGATCCAGCTGATCCGGCTCTGATGGTTGCGATAAGCGAGGATCTAATCGACTCCACATACACGTTTTTCAAGTTTTCGTTTGCTCGTCAGTTTGCCTCCTTTCCAACATTAAACAACATCCTCCTTTCGGACACAAAGTCTTCAAGATTCTGGCGTGTTTTCAGTCGACCAGTCCGATATCGTTTTGGAAGTATTACGGTCGTGGGTTCCGAGGGGTGCCAGTGAGTTAACTCAATAGCTCTCATACGCTATTCACAAACCATTCAGATTTTCAAACGTGTAGAGCCACGCAAATACTTTTAGGCTGCAAAACAATAAGGGATAACTGAGCTTAATGTAAGCAATACCTCACACACAAAAATTGAGTGGAAACTTACCCCTCCCGTAGAGCGTAGCATTCGAACCTGAATACCAGATGATTACCGGTAACAAGGTAGCTGTCCTGCGTTGATTCAAAGCGCATAATCAATTCCTGTTGACCGGTGTTGTAGAGGTTGAGGCAGTCCGTGAAGCCCAGAATGTAGTCGCGTACAGATGCATCGGAGCAGACCTGAGAGAATAAAATACACCCACTTGGGTACTGTCAAGCTAAATGGAGGTAGCTGCCTGCGTAGTTACTGGACAGGAGAGTGCAGGTGATAACATTACAGATTTTGACCCGTCACACAGACCCTGCCATCTATCCAGGCAAGAATTGCGTCAGACCACCAAGGACATGCATTAAATGAGCGGAACTTCCCACAGGGTAGGCGATAATGGTTAGGTAAAGATAAAGTCCAGCTTGGGAGTGTGCGAAATTCGTTTAAGGAGGAACTCTGCTACGATTTGATGCTGAAGATAACGTGAACTGCTGGTGACCAGCACAGTTTTGAAAGACGCGATATATAGTAACTTGAAGTTTAAGTGGACAGTTTGTCTCCCAAGGGAGTCACGTTGTAGTTAAACGGCGGCCACTTTTTCTTATTGGCCCACGGTCTGCTTTTTTAAACTGCGATGAGCCGGCTGTTCATACGTGTTAAATACAGTAGACGCTAGCTGATGCCATATTGCCGACGGTTAGGCGTTATCTTAAAAAGGCATAGCTTTTAATTAAGCCAGTTCAGCAGATAGCCACAGACATAATCATGCATTGTAGCAATTAGGAGTCTGGCACCCGAACCCAGCAAACAAAACTAAACATTCTATTGACTAAATTGTGAAAAATTCGTGGCATCGGTGGGAGTCGAACCCACACAGTAAGGAAGGCTTTGGTAGAGCCAACGCTCTACCATTGAGCTACCAAGGCAGGCCGAAGCTTTGAATTTAATCCTACTTGGGCCGATTTACCCGCCCAGCCTACTGCTCGTGTGAAATCCGTCATTACGGATACAGTAAGCGAACTGCCCTGGGAGGATTTCCTAAGCAGTCATCTCGAATCCACCGGAATGACTACTAGGCTCGTTTAATTATTAGGAAAGTTTGGCAGATTTTAATAATTCAGTTGACCCAATTGTGAAAATGCCGTGGCCTCGGTGGGATTCGAACCCACACAGCAAGGAAGTCTTTTTGTACAGCCAACGCTTTACCGTCTTGGGTATACATAAAACAGTACCTTAGCAGTCTGTCGTATATAGACTGCCCAGACGCCAAGCAACTGCGTATGCTGCTGTTTCGAACTACACTGTAGATAATACTTTTAAAACGTATACTATCACGTCTGGAGAGAGGGGGTGTGACGCCCATAAGTGCCTTATAAAACACCGCGTTTCAAAATCAGAGGTCATTAAAACAAGGCTGCATAAATTACGAGAGCAGCCATTGACACAGAATTGCAATTAAGCCGGTGTGGTCTGCGTAGCACGTGCTACTGTCAAGGACAAGCGAAATGGTCAGTCTGTGAGAATTGCGAAAGGCAACACTGAGGTGGCTGGAGTTGGGGATCGTAGGCCACTCATCGCGCATGTAGAAGTGTTGCTGTGTATGAATATTGGACGGGCTGTGCTTTGGCACTGGTTGCCAACTGACGATTGTACTCAGACCTCGAGGTGAGCTCAATGTATGTTTGTGTAGGGTGGCCGACCGGCGGAATGAGAGTCAGGCGAAAATGGCTCCATTGTAATGTGGCATTTT